CACAGAATAAATTTTTTATTGCTTTGGTTTAGAAAAAGATCTCTTCTATACAATGCAAAAAAAATGTGACCCATAAAAGAAAAAAAATAGGTAAGTTTGACTTTGTCAAAACTTAAATTTTTCGGCTCCTCACAAAACACTACTAAGAAAATGAACCATCTAAGAGTTGGAGAAAATACTGAAAAACTTATTTTTAAAATAAAACATTTGTGTCCAGAGCATTTAGAAACTTCTCAAAACACAATAATTAGAAAACAGTGACCTAATTTTTAAAATATGGAAATATTTGAGAAGACAATTTACCAAATAACATCTTTGGTGAATTAAAAGATGCTCACCTTCCCATTGTGGGAGCCAGTTGGATAACACATTAAAATTTTTTTTATCTTTCTTTGTCTCACTTCCCCCATTCCTGTAGAGTTCATTTCATCTACCAAATAAACTGCCTGCCCTCGTTGTTGCTGCTGGAGGATTCTGTGTGAGACAAATTCTAGTAGGAAGCTATCGGGAGAAATCAGCACTATTCTTCTAAAAAATTGTCTAAGAAGGGAAGAAAAAAGGATAGTGGAGAGCTGAACAGAAAGCAACAATATGAAAAGGCTTAAAATAGGAGGGAGGTAGACAAATTATACTGCAAGACCCTGGAGGAGCCTGGAGTAGAGCAAGGAAGATTGCAGGAATGTGTGCGGTGGGGGTGGGGATAGGGGGGCCTGGCTTGATTGGGGAACAAATATTTCATCCTTTGAGGCTGAGGAAAGGATTTCAAGACAGAAACATATCCTGATCAATGTGTGGTGGCTGCTGGGGACAGGACAATCTGGGGAGTATGGGGGCTCTTTTGTCCACATGGCATCAGCCCATGGATCCATAAAGCTTTCCCCAGCTGTGCTCACATAGCAGCTCGGTGCATACACGACTGTGCTCAGGAGATTGGAAACCAGAGCAGTGCAGGGAGGTTGTGAGCTTGATCTAGCATTAGGGATTTATGGATGGGGGTTGTGATGTGTTGGGTTGTGGGAGGATTCAGAATGCCAGGATTAAGGCAATTTGAGGGGGCATGGTTAACCTAGTCCAGGTAAGACCGTCAGACTGGAGATCACACACAGCTTCTAGGACAGGAGGCTTCCCTGGCCAACCCAGGCCTCAGCACTTGCTCTTGTTGGTGCTGGTGCTATGACCACAAGAGCATAAAGGCCCACTCCCATGAGGGAAGACCGTATGGCTTAGGTAGAATGAGATCCACAAGTTCGGTTGTCCAAACCCATAAAAGCAATAATGCAGCCTGGGGTTGCAGGCAGGACAAAAGGATAGCAGAGCTCTTAGGCCCTTTCCCTAGCTCTCTATTACCTGGGGAATGGTAGATGAATTTCTGGTTTTGTTTGGTTGAGATTGCCGGGACAGAATGACTGCTATGCAATTAAGTATAACATAAGCATGGAGGGGAATTTTCCAGAGTCCATGCTTTTCACCCTGGGAAATAGAGGCAGGATCCAGAGCAGGGAATGGCAGAACTAGTTTACCCAGTCCTGCCCAAGCAAAGGGAGCATGCTCTATAGTCCTCTGGATGGAGAAACTGCAAGGTCTCCATAGGGGAATGAAAAAGGAGGACAAAGTCACGCTATAGACAGTATCTGGAAAAGGTAGAGCCTATGTGCCTGAAACACACAGACCTTTGAAGCTCCCTGAATGCTGGAACAGACGTTGCACACACACTCCTGAACCCCAATACTAACCACTCATGAGTCAGCACTCTGCTGGAGCAAATTCTAGTTTTTCAATTATAACTGGCAATTATAAAATGTTTTAATTGCAGTATTCTTTGGAAGTCCTGATAACTTCAAACACACTCAAAACCATGTACAAATGTTCTACAATTGCAGAAGGAAACTAGAGTGGTTTCTATTCTATTACTAGTGAGACCAGCATGGAGTGCTTCAGCTGGTGGTGGCAGTTCTGAACTTTAGAGGCACTGCCCTGCCATGCCCAGCACAGGACAGTACCTGTCAACAAATCACCAAACTAGGACTTGCTTTATTTCAAGACTCAAGATTAAACAATTCTCTGTCCTTTAGAGAGCAAATCCTGTGGAAAACCTAAAGCTACTTACCTTTCCCTCTAGCAGTTGTATTTCCTAGGCTTTGATTTTATCATCTGATAAGGTGGGCAAAGGCTACAGGAGAGGAATCAGGGAGATAGAACAACTGGATTGGGTGAGGCGGCCAGGGTCATGGCTGCCCCTTTAGGGAACAGTAGCATCACCGAGGAATGGGCCAGTCATAAATATCATCTGAGCTGCTCAATCCAGAGCCTACTTCATTTCCCCTGATTCTCAGAGCTTGGTGCTGTCCTAGACAGGGGTTGGGTAAATAAGCTTCATGAGTACATACAGAAATAAACTGGTCTCCCAGGCTTCTGGTGCAATATAAGACATACTTTGAAAGAATGAGTCAAAGGTCTTTAGCACTGCCCAATATGTGTGACCAATTGGCCTAAATTAGTCACTCACAGCCTTGGTGGTTCTCAGAGGACCACAGATCCTCAACTTCCAAGAGAGGTGCAGCCTGGGAAATGTGTTAACCCCAAGGCAAGGGCAACCTTGCAAAACCTTAAAATCTTAAAGAATTGACAGAGCAAAATACATTGAGTGAGATGCCAGGGTTTCCTCCAATCAAATATGAGGATGCTACTGTATTCAGTCGGGATGCTGAGAGTCATAGCCATTGATTTCTAAGGTTAGCGTGTACTCTGGCTTTCTGAGCAGACCTATCCAAGGCAGTTAATACAGACTCAAAGGCCTTTGCCAGAGATGTTTAACCTCTCAAGGTCACATCTCAGGAATGGCACCATTTCAGACAGGTGACTTGCTTAAAAATTTGTTTTTAAACTTTTTAAAAATGTGACCTGGATTCTCCTTAAAAGTGAATTTTCCTCGTTAACCTACCTCCCGCTCCTTTGATTTGAAATAGTCAACAGTATCAATAAAGGAAATATGGAAATAAAATGACTCTAATATATTCCCCAGGACCTTGGAGAAGGGAAAATGAGTACCTCAGGCAGGCTTGGGTGGTGCATAAGTGAAGTGAGGGGACATTTTGAAGGCAGCCTTTCAGGTCCTGTGTTCTCAGGTAAGGAGCAATGGCTGAGAAGGCAGCCCCGGCCTCTGTTAAGTACCTTCTCTGATACCCTCTAAAACAAGTTAACCAAGGAACTCAAAACATGCCACACCAGGGTAGCTCCTGAGTTTAGATGGGTACAGTGAGCAAGACTGGGTCCAGAGAAAACTGAGCTGTGCGTTTACTCTCTTGGTCTTCCATCTCCTTTCAATGTTCTGCTTGAACCCCAGCCACCAAAAGAGCCATCACAAGACTCACCATAGATGACATGCCTCTTACGAAACTAATTTCCTCTGCTCCCCACATTTTCTGACCACTTCTGTATATCAAACTTGCCAGACCTAGCCCCCTTTGACTCCAGCCTCTTGGAGCCACCAAGATAATGACTAGGTAACCTAGCTACAACTTGCCACTAAAGCTTTAATGACTAGTAGCCTTTTACTTCTTCTTGCAAATTAAACTCACCTGATCTTGTATTTTTTTAATGCTTTCATTTTGGGTACCAAAAGTTTGGCACCTCCCACTTTTGTTTTTTACTACCTGTCACAGATAGTCTGGATCATTTACTTATGGAGGACTTAGGTCATGGCTGTTAAAGATGGATGTAGACTTTGTACTGCCTGTGTCACTATACTTGGGGGAAGGGAATATGTGTTAAGAATGCAGATCCCCCAGGCCTCACTGGTAACCCAATGACTAAGACACTCAAGGGATGTCCTTAATGTGCTCCCCATTTGATTCTTCCCCCTACTAAATCAGTAAACATCAAGTGACCTTGGCGCACGGGAATGTGTATGACGGGCTGGATATCAGAGTAGATGTGAGAATGCCAAATGCAGAAGCACCCATTGCTGACTTACAAAACATAAATTTCCAAACATTGACAGGACTAAACAGTTGGCCCGTCATGCACAGGGACAGGGAATACCAAGGAACTCTCTGTGCCTTTCCCCTCAATTTGTGAACCTAAAACTGCTCTAAAAAGTAAAGTAGAGATGTGGAGATAGAGAAAGAAAAGGGGGGTGGGGAGAGAGGGGGAGAGAGAGAGAGAAAGACAAAGAAGAGAGAAGCTGGCCTCCTTAAGATAGAGTGGGTGATCACAGTGCCTCTCTGGCTCTCCTTTTCTCTCTCCTTGGATTAACCTCCTCCAACCTGCTGCTCACCCTAACCTGATTTCCTCTGTGAAGCCCCAAATTCCTGTGGCAGAGCCAGTCAGTCCCTGCTCCGGACTCCAAAGGTCCAATGAGCACCTCACTTAAAGCATTACTGGAGCACTTACACTCTACACTGTGACAATTATTCTCTCACTTGGTCCTGGAATTCACAAATGACATGGTTTGCTCTCTTCTATATTCCCTTCCCTCAGCACAGTACATAGAACCGTATAAATATATAGTAAAGTTTGCTGAATGACTAATAAATGAATAAATGGGGATAAGGCCATTGGGATTAGCATCTGATGAAGTGTGTTGGGAGAGTGGGGAGAATGCCAAGGTTGAACTCTCCTACTCATACACAGATAATCCATCAGCGTCACCATTGCTACTCTGTGAGAGTCACAAGAATAGGGGATCCCCACTTCTTCAATCTGTCACTGCGGCCATTAATCTGATTTGGTAAAGTCCTGACTTTACCAAAAGTCAGTCCTATGACACAGCCATCTGGAGTATGGAGCTATGACACAGCCATATGGAGTGTGGAGCACTAGCGTCTAGGAGGCAAACAGAGCCAGCTGGGTGTTTCAAACAGAGGGGGTTTAATGCGGGGAAGTGATCACACAGGTTTGGTGAGAGGCTGAGAGCAGGCCATTGAGAGAGCTCCGTGTTAGTACACACAGCAAGCAGCTACTAACCTTCGGGCTGGGGGAACAAAAGGGAAGAGATGGTGTTACCAGAACCTAGAAGCTTTGGTGGGGGACCCCCCGCGGCTGGCGCCCGGCCCTCGCAGGGGGCTGCTGCGCGGCGGCTGCTTGGACTTCTGAGGGGGGCGCTGCTTGGCAGGTGGCGGTCGGACCTCGGGGCGGGGACGCGGCGGACGCTCAGTCCTCGGAGGGGACCGTGGCTTGGCCGGCGCTCTGACCACGGCGGGGGGCGCAGCGGGCTGGTGCTTGGGCCTCTGGGGGGACGTGGCGCGGCGCCTGGTGTTGAGAGGGCCAAAAAAGCCGGGGGCTGCAGCCGGGGCGGTCCTCTGCTGGTGCAGGGATGCTGGCGGGAGCTGGCACGGGGAGGACGCCCTGCTTTCCCTCCCGCCCTGGAGCCGGAACCTGTCCGAGCACCGAGCACCGAGCACCGAGCACCGAGCACCGCGCACCGAGCCCGGCCCGGCCCGCGCGGCGGCTCGCTCACCTGGTCTTCTGGCAGGCGCAGCAGATCCAGTCCTCCTCCTTCTTCTGGTAGAAGCAGCCGCTCTTGCAGATGCTGTACTTGCGGTCCACGATCTCGCGCTTGGAGTTGAGGAAGGTGAAGGGCGGGCAGCAGTGGATGCTGAAGTGCTCTGAGAACTTCTGGTTCTTGGAGAGTCTGGGACCCTCCTTGGCCATTTTCTGACTCATCTCACTGGAAACCATCCATGGAAGGAGAGAGAGATGGGGAAAGAGCGGCGTGAGGCCAGGAAGCAGGTCCTGCTCCAAGAAGTCGCTCCCTGATTCTTGGACACCCCTATGTTCAGGGTTGTCTTACACAGCCAAGGTCTGGAAAACCAACCCCTGTCCAATTCTACAGAATGGAACCAAACAAAGGGTTTTTTTTTTTTTTTTAACAAAACTGAGCAGAGTCTTGCTATGTAGCCCCAGCTGACCTGGAAATCTCCCTCCTCCTGCCTCAGCCTCCTGAGCCCTGGGATCACAAGCATCCATACCACCCCTTGGCTCGGTTTATTAACTTTTATCTGTGAGTAATTTAAGTATTTTTCTAAGAGAAAAGAATATGGACTGTATTTTTCCTTATGTTTTAGAGGCCTAAAAAAGATAGGAAAAATAGCGCAAAACCAAAAATGTCTTTAACTAAATAATATTCTAGATATAGGAAAAGACTTTGCTCTAAAAAAACAAACAATAGTTATTATTAAGACCATAACCACAGGGTTGTGAAGTGGCTCAAGTGATAGAGCACCTGCCTAACAAGCAAGAGGCCTTGAGTTCAAGCCCCAGCACCACCAAAAAAAACCCATAATTACTATTCATACAATAAAATACTACACAACAATGAAAAAGAATAAACTACTGATACATGAACACATCTGAACCTCACCAGCACAGGGCTGAACACAAGAAGTCAGACAAAAACATGCAAGCTGTACGAACTACTTCATACGAGGTTCAAAAACAGGCGGAACTAACCTGTGGTGCTAGAAATCAGAGCATATCTATGTTTGGAAGAGGTAGGATCTGACCCAAAGGGGCACAACAGAGCCTGCGGGAAGCTGAAAATGTTCCTTCTAGGAATAAGACAATCTCAGAAGTTGCCCTAACCCTCCCAAACACAGAATCACAAAGGGAACAGAAATAACTGTTAATCAACAAGTCAACAAATATACGTGGGTAGTGGGCATAGGCCAGACAAGAGATGTCCCTGCTCTCAGCAAACTCAAGGTCACCCTGGAGACACAGAGGCCCATGTAGTCAAGGGGTTCCAGAAGAGCACAGAAAAGGAATGACGATAGGACACCTGATATGGGATTTTAAGGATGAATTCATACCTTAAAAACAACTAAATTATATTAAGGTGATATTTTAATACTTCTGCTTTTTAACATGGTTGTCTTCTGCTACAAATAGGAAAGAGGGCTGAGAATCAAGTAGACTACAGCTAAAATACTTTTTCTTTTTCAAGACAAGTTCTTACTATGTAGCCCAGGTTGGCCTCAAACTTATGATCCTCTTGTCTCAGTCTCTTGAATACTGGGATTAGTAGTTCAGTCATGTAGCACCATGACCGGCCTTAAATTATTATAATAATTAAAATAGTATACTATAATATAATTATAATGATATAGTAATAACTGCTTATAATTCTAGCTACTTGGGAGACTGAGATCAGGAAGATCGCTGTTCCAGGCCAGTTCAGGCAAAAAGTCTTCCAGACCCCATCTCGACCAATGGCTGGGTGTGGTGGTGCACACCTGTCACCCCAGCTCCGCAGGGAAGTACAGATAGGAGGATCTCAGTCCAGGCTGGCCTGGGCATAAAATGAAACTGTATTTCCAAAATAACCAACACAAAAAGGGTTGGTGGAACCGCCCAAGTGGTAAAGTGACTGCCTAGCAAGCACAAGGCCCTGAGTTTAACCCCCAGTACTGTTCCCCCAAAAACACCTTTTTTGTGACTCAGTTGATAATAGCCCAAATTACGCATTACATCCTTTATGAGTGCTGTAAATGCACTTTCCAAAGACTTCACCTGCTCTTATCATGAAAATAACCAATTTTACGTGATTAAATTTCTTAGTTCTTATTTCATTTAGGAAGATCTTCCCACTCCATGAAGTTTTAAACATACCCATGGATATTTTCCTTCTGAAAGAAAATCGTATCTGTTCATCTCCCTATCAGTCTCTCCCTCTCAACAGGCAAAATTCTTGAAGAATGATCAATCCTTTCTTCCTCCACATCTACGTCTCTCGCTCACTCTTTAATATAGTCTAACCATGCTTTTGTTCCTTTCCTCCCAAGGGAAATGCCTCCCCAGAGGCCTCCATGCTGCTAAAACCCATGTCTTCTTTGATCCCTCTCTCCATGTAACCTCTCCCCTTTCCTGTGATGCCCATCCTCCTCGATTGCCTCCTCTAGCTCCTCCGTATTAATCTCTTTTATAAGTTCATCTGCTTTATCCAAAGCTTTTCCTTTCTTGAGACAGGAAAGGAAGTGAAGGCAGGAGGATCATGAGTTCAAGACCAGGTCCTCCTGCCTTCACTTCCTGAGTGCTGAGATCAAGGTGTAGACCACTATGCCCAGCACTATCCAAAACTTTTATTTTTCAAAATCCCCAAAGTGCAATAAATACCAAATGACTAATGGAGTTACCCGCAAGCATTCAAAGTCTAACATTTAGTACACACTTAGGTTGTGACAGGCACAGTGTATCGCAGTTGATACAGCTGGACCATGCTTAGTTCAGTCCTCAAGAAACTTGCCCACCAGTTGGAGATACAGCCAGCATGTCAATAGGATGCACTTGACGTACTGATGGCCACAAAATGAATTTGTTGAGCTCAGATCTGTAGTGGGAAGGGTCAGGGGATGGATCATATGGATATTCTGCTCACAATGTGCTCACAGTATAAACAGAGGAAATTGCACAGGCATCAGTAAGATTAATAAGAGACAGCTTGCTCTGGAACATGGAAACACACTGACAAAATGACACGGGAAGTCCACAGGACAGAGGGCTAGATGCTGGGCTAGGAAGAAAGAGTCCATCAGGCCTTAAGATTTGGCAAGTCAGAGACAATAATCTTCTGGTGGGATGCGAATGGTTGATCCATAAGCAAGATATGCAGGGGTGAATTATAGCCCTCTGAGAGCCCCCACCATGTGTGCAGTGAAATGCCAAGTGTGGGAAAGGGAGTGGTGCCAAGGTGCAGGTGGAGAGGTAGGACAGGACTTACCTGTCACTGCAAAGGTCTAACCCCAGTGCCTGAGCACATGGTCATGCCATCAGCTGACTAAAGGCATACATCGATGAGAAAGAGGGGGAGATCATCTTGACATCTGGTCTCATCTGCCCAAGACATGCATAAGGAAATGGAGCCCAAAACCTCTGAAGCTACAACTGTCACCTCGAACTGTTCTTAAGGGTCCTTCCCCTCGTGGAGACAGGCTGCTCATGAGATACCCATGAAGACAGTGAGGAGCCGGGACATCAGCAAGGGTATTCAGAGAGGCAGGATGAGTAATAACCTCCTGGGAGAGAAATTTCCAAATGTTCAGGAGGAGGAGCTAACAGGTGATATCCATAAAAAGTCCTTCAATCAAACAGGCATTTGTAGAACAGAGAAACCACAGCTGACATACATGGTCTGCTTTTCCCATGGGACTTTCCTCCCCTCCCCCATGGCAGCAGAAAAATCTAGCACCTCCTTCAACTTCTAGAATTGACTGGCATGGATTAAACATGGTGGTGCCTTTGGATGCCTACTCCGGCTGAGTTCTCAGTTCCCAGCTGAGAAGATGCCTGGGACCTATGCCCTTCTCTTCCCCCAGCCCATCAGAAAAGAGAGTTCTCAAGGCCTCCTCCCACTTCTTGGGTGTGCTAGGGATCAAATCCAGGGCTTCACTTATGCTAAGCAGTCACTCTAACAGTTACATCACGCCTGGTCCCCAATTTCTTATTATCATATTCTCAGACAGCTTCCATCAATTCCTCCTTGCCCATTCTGTCCATCAGGGGGCAGCCTCCTTCTCCTTATCCATCAATACATGGTCCTTAAAAGGACAAAGCAATTTTCTTAACTGGAAGAACAGCAAATTGTCCTAAGACAACCAGCTGAAAATTCATCCAACTTTTTAAAGAACATTTTCTCCCTTCCCTAAGTAAAATGATGAGAGAGGCCAAGTTCATAAAGCCAGTAAGAGGCAAGCAGATGTGAATCTTCATCTGTATGACTCCAAAATCCTGAGCTCCTGAACCAAGTCCAACACTATTCTAGAACTCCTTATACTTAGTCTCTGTGAAGCAGTAGCGGGGGCCAGGCCCAGACTGGACTTCAGGAAACTGGAGATGGGATTCCATCTCAGAGATGCATGGGTCTGTGCCCTAGAGTGAAAAAGACTGAAAGCTGGGGAAACTCACTCCAGAAGGCGAAGGGAGAGAATTGAGTGTGAGACCTGGTAGCCAGGACTTCCCTGCCGGCAAGAAGGCTCATCCATGGGAACCAGAGTGTGAACTTGGACCCCACATGTGCTTTCAAAGCTCCTTCTGTTCAGTAGCCCAGGAAGGCCTGGAACTTGCTGTGTAACTAAGATTGGCCTTAAACTCCAATCCTCCTGCCTCAGTCTCTCTAGAATTACAGGCAAGTGCTACCATGCACAGCCCTTTAGTAAACTTTTTAAAAATCTATATTTGCTATTGAAAATGAGAAAATTTGAATGGATGAAAATAATACAAAGTTTTTTTTGTCATTTTTACATTTACTCACATGTGTGTACATTGTTTGGGCCACTTCCCCCCCACAAAGTTCTTGAATTATTACTCCATAGTTAATCACTTGTAAAATATTTGAACATTTTTTTGGTTTGAGAATATTTTATGTAAATATATAGTTAATAGAAAGTAGGCCATACCTACCTACTGTTCAAATTTATGTACTACAATTGGAAAATCATTTTTTTTTGGTTTTAACTTTATCATTTATTTTGGGGGGATTACTGGGCTTTTAATTCAGGTCCTTAAAATTGTGAGGCAGGCACTCTACCACTTGAGCAACACCCTCAGTCTTTTTAGTTTTAATATCATAGATATGGGCTCTCAAGTGGTAGAGTGCCTGCTTAGCAAGCATGAGGCCCTGACAAACCACAGTACTGTCAAAAAAAAAAAAAGATAGATATAATGTTATC